TGTCTCCCCCAGCCGCCGTCACTGCGGAATGGAGGGGGGGGTGGCCGTCGCAGTGCTCGCCTGCAGACATCCCAACTCCAACCTTATTGTCTGTCATGTTTGCAACTGAGTTAAAGGAGCGGGGGGAAGAAGGGTGATTATTGAAGTTGTTGTTGCGAGGAATCGTGTGGGATTTAATGAGAGGATCTGAGATGTGACTGGCAGACATGGCCACTGTGCAGAGAACTAAATACAAGAGGCTTCTTAAGAGAAAGGAGATGTTCCAGGCAGCCGTGTTCACCGCTACATATGACAGGTAGCTGTAAAACCCATCAATTCTAATTCCATCTATGACAGTGATGCTGACAGTGAGCGTATGCAAGGGGTTAGAGCTTATTTGTGGAAATGTCACAGAATATTTTAATTATACACAGCAGAAAGAAATATAGAAGAAGAAGAAACTGAAAGAGAGACATGTGTTTTTTCAAAGCATACGGGGATGAGAGTGTCTGATGCTGCAGTATAATACGATTCAGTAAGCACAAACATCAGGCTAGCAACTAAATATGTACACTTGAAGATTAACATTATCCCTACAAAGCAAGGTGAATGTTATTACGACGAGGCAAGCTCAGAATTCACATCAGACAGAATGCCAGCTCCCAATAAGCTCCATTGAGGCCTCCATCCTTGTGATCCAAACCGACACTGTCAGAAAATCAGTGGACAAAATAGTTTTGAAAGCATGAGAAGGAAACAGGAAGGAAACGGCATGTTTTGATGTCTGTGTTGTTTAAATGGCGTCCCTTTAGTGCTGCAGGACGAGTCCTAGAACCCAGAAAACCAGCATTTCATTTCATTTTAGTGTGTGTGTGTGTGTGTGTGTGTGTGTGTGTGTGTATATGTGCACGTATAGTACATCCTGAAAGGTGTAAATGTTCAGAGTGTCTGTCTGGATTGTCAAACATTTGTAGTTGTGAATCGTGTCAAAAAGAATCAGGTAAAAACCTTTTTCATTCACTCGTGAGTGATTCATCACAAAAAGCTCTTAATTACAGCTGCTTCTTAATAAACTAAGCTTTTTCTTTTCAGATTAGCCAATAATCCTCTCCAGACTTTTTCCAGAAATATCTTCCGTAATTGGTCAAAAATCCTTCAAGAGGACAAGAGCGCTGTCTGTGGGGCTGAACTCATAAATTCATAAACAATTATGCACTGAAATAACACAAGGTTTGGTCATAAACCATCATAGTGTGGTCGTATAATATCGTATGAAAAGTTATTTTCCATTTTTCATTTGCCTTCTAATGTCCAACTTGAGCGACAGGGCAGAGCCTGTTCAGGCAAAATGAGGAATCGGTTAGATTGTGGATTGGATTAAAATAAATACCTTTTTTATGTGAAATAAGTAGTTTGTTACCTAATTTATGTAGGTGGCGGAAGTTAAGTATGCAAGTAAAGTAACAAAAGCAAGATACATTTTGTCTTTTGCTTTCACTGAGGACTGGAACAGCAGTCTCCTGAGTGAAAGTCCTGTGTTAGTTTGACCACCTTGTTATTTATACTAGAGCACCTTCCTTGGAGGAAGCCCTACACGTTCTGGCTCACAATCACGTGGGTTTTATACGATTTACATATGCATATGTTTTTTGTACCAACAGTGATTGAAAACAGCCTGGTGTGGGACATAAGTGTCTGTTACAACGGTTTTCCAACAGTTAAACCTACTTCTGGACCAAAGAGATGGACAGACTAGCCGCCCTTATTATCTCTATAGAGCCACACTACTGGCTTGGCTAAAACCAAACAGCAGTTGACTTTGGTCAACTTCAAATCCCGACTTCTTAATACCCCCCCGTCCTTGTTTTTGAGTTCAATGAACAGGCCTCAGCACAGCCAGTCACTTCACTGTTGCCTCCGCTTGATGATGTCATGAATCACTAACTCAGCACAGAGATGGAGATTTTAGGGCGGCGCGGTCACCCATTATGATGGGGGGGGGGAAAATGGCCTCTTTATCTGATGGATTTGGAGTGAGCCAAATTGTCCATAAATTTGGGACACAGAGTCATAAATGTCAGGAAAGGGAGAAAAACAGACAGACAAATTCCGCCAGCGTGATGGCAGTGCTAATGATTACTTCTGAGAGAGAGAGAGAGAGAGAGAGAGAGAGAGAGAGAGAGAAATAATGTGCAGGGAGTGTTAAAAAGGACAAGGAATAGGGGGGGAGGTGGTTGGTGGATGTGTATGAATGTGTATGTGCCACTCTGTGTTAATCACTGATGGGGGGAGAAAGGGAGACAGATGAAGACAGAGGCATTGATCTCACCAGCTAATGGTCACATTGACTCACTGCATGTCTCTGTGCTGAGGAAAAAAAACAACTTTAAAACAGAGAACACATGGGGTATTCTAGTGAGATAACTCCATTACTCACAAGAGGGTTTGAGATGAGGTTACCTGGCATCTCGGCGGCCATATTAAAACAAAGTAGCTGTGGATAACAGGTTTCATTTCCATATTTACAGGAGGGAACAATAATGGCGACATTCTTCATGGTTTCAGCAACCGCTACAGCTGCAGCAATTAATTCCATCGTTTGTGTTCACAAGCACATCAATAATGCAATTGTTTGATGAAGTTACTAGACATGATCGGCAACCTGTTCGATGTGCCAATTTATAATGTTAAGATTTTGTCATAATGTGCACTGATTTATTTACGGCTGCTGCATGTCTCCCATCAAAACAGACAAATTATACAAATACACTAATATACAACTTGTAGGTCAAAGTGTGCCGTATACGATATTCTTAATAACTCTGATACCAGCTCTCATCCCGGCTATAGTGAGTCGCTCCCATGCAGAGTCTCACTTTCACGAGCTTTGTAATCCAGTCGTGTCTTTTTGGACACTTTGTTAAATACATCCATGACGATAAATCCAACTCAGAATGTTTACTGTGGTCCTGACTTGTCGGTCAATCAGAGGTTTTGCTTTTGAGTGTGTGGTCGATCTGATCTTATTGCACAATGGAATAACCTGAGATTAAAAGATGGAGTGCATGGTAATAATGTGTACTATAGCAACTGCAGTCTAAATGCCTCGTGTGGTCAGAGAAATAAATGCTCAGAAATCTTGTGTTTCATTTTAGTGCCTTCTAGGCTTCAATCAACATCAAAAAAACATGTTTAAGAAAAGTCCCGGGCTGAAAGGCTTGTAGGTATGATTTAAACTGAGTTATTTGCATCGTACAAATTTGCATTTTGCTATATCAATCAAAATATTTGTTAACTTCAATGTCAGGAAGTACAGTGTATTGCGCAATATTTTTATAGCTCCTTCCTCATTTTATATTCATCCACTTCTGTACCTGATGATTTCAACTCAGATCTGAAGCATATTTCGTCTCTAACAGCAGCTGGAAAGAGAAACTGTTTGTTCTGGTGGATCAAAATTATATTCAGCAACTTTCCCATTGCATGAATCTGGACGTCTGACCTTTAAAATGGAGGTGTTTGTACACTGTGCTTGCTTTTTTTTGTTTGTCCTTCAAACAATGAACTCTGCACGCTCAGCTCAGTGTGGCTTTTAATGCTTTGTTAAGATCAGTAGAGGTGACATGAAACAAACCATCTGAGGAATGCAGCAAACAGAATGGTAAACTTAATGTTGCCCTCCTAATTTAGCCTTAGGTCCGTACAGAGAGGCTTTAGAGAGACATGAGGGAGTAACAAGAGATGCAGAAACGGACTCCACAGTGGAAATGATGGCAGCCCTTGCAAAGGTAGTACAAAATGCAACCCATACTTTGGTGTTTTATTCTTACTGCTTTACTTAAGATTTCATTAAACTTATTTTTTTTTCTTTTTACACAAAATGTACCAAAACACTGGCAACGAGGAAGATCTTGGGTAATTAGTTAAAATAGCTGTTTAGTGTCTTAAAATATAACATCAGATCCTATTTAACGTTTTAATAAATGTGTGTATTTGGCGATTTTTGCACTGTTGTATGGACATTCTTTCACCACACTTTCATATCAAGTGAATCAATGTTTCTCAGCCCCGACTTGCTATCGTCCAGAAGAGAAACAGAGGCAGACATAGACGCAGAGAGAGACGGACCGTCGTGTCATCTTGGATCACCAGACACTGTAATAGGCTTGAGTCTCATCAGTTGGGCTCAGCTCGGGTCGGCTTGGCTGCAGAATTAACTCCCTGTCTCCCTGCCAACAACAGCGCATGGGAATGGGATTCTCTAGCAGACCCAGAACAATCCTAGAAGGTCTCACTTAGCTGGCTTTGGGAGAAAAAGAAAAGAATAGGTTTCCAGTTGCCCAGAGGTTTCACACTGGTATAATATTTGCTCTCTGGTTCATAATGGAACTCCAATGATCTGAACACCGGAACGCTCTCGGCAAACCCAGCGCGAGGTACGAGCTGTGTCTTCTGTGCCGGTGTTATTCTCAGTGTGATTCACTCAAATGGTCTTTTTTTTATGTAGGAGATTCAGCACACACAGAGACACTGGAACGTTATCCATTTGATTTGATCACCGTTTGAATGTCTCTCTTCGGTTTGGCTGGGGCAGTAGATGTCCATGTGTCTGGTACTACAGAGTAAGTGCTGTTCTGACTAAGGTACCCATGAGGGACAGAACATTTTGAACATTTTCAGAACAGCATGAGGCAAGTAAAGCCTGGAACATTTTCTTCTTTTTCAAACAATAGCTCAGGGCTCTTACATTTAAGACATGGGGAGTTTTCATTTGAAATAAAAGCTAAAATTTTACAGTAGGTAAAATAATAGCACCTTATACACACCTATTCGGCATAAAAAGGCAAAAAATAATAATTTATCAAAATTCCACTCGTTCTTGGAAAACCATGTAGATCGATGTCATCTGGGTTTTCTCAGAAGAGGTATTGTTAACATCGAAATGACGAGAGCTCATCTTAATTTGTTCTATTTTCTCTTTCTCCACCTTCCCTTTCTGTCCCCCTTGAACTTCCCTGCAGATGAATTCAAAGCCCTGCTGAAGCGCTTGCCCACCGACCGGTTCTTGAACGTGTCCACGGTCGCCAAGTTCTGGGCAGCCGACTTGTCCATCCAGAAGCGCTACGGCCAGCTGGAGTCCAGCACCGCCCTGGTCCTGGGCAAAGCCCAGAAGGTCGTCAGGAAACTGTTCACCCTGAGCAAACGCTGCCCCAAACACCCTCGCATCAGTCTGCCCAGAGAGAGGTAACCCACTGACACACTGACAGGAATCAAACCCAACTACAAAGGCACTCGGAGAGCGCAGACCTCCACCGAGGCCGTTTCCATAACTGTAATATAATGGGAGCATCCGCCCCGTCATTCAGATTCGCTCCAAAATGTTATTGAATCTTTCTCGGCCCATGCTACACGCCAACTCTAATGAAAATGGGGCCAGTAACTTTTCTGTAATCCTGCTGACAAACAAACCAACGAACCGATCCCAAAACTGAAGAAGACATCATTTATTATTACTAGGAGTTTTCGTGGCTGCTTTGTGCTGATTCATCACAGCTGTAGGCACTCTAACAGCCCACCTCAAGTGAGGCACACTGGGGAAAACCCAAAGCCATCTATCTGGAAAGAGCTCAGCTTTGAATTAGGCTAAAACTCCCAAAAGTGATACACACGGGAAAGGTGGGAAACATGCCAGTGGGGTACACAATTGCTCCCTTTAAGCCGATTTCCATCCAGAACATGAATTTGTAGATTACTGGCATTTTGGTTTCAGCTTTGGGCTGTCTGTGCTGTCAACATGTTGTACAACATCCAAACTGTGTAAAAGCGTTGGGCGTTATGACAGAGTAGTAGCAACACTATCTAGATAGCTGTAGCCTGCATGTACCTGAATGAATCATCTGTATCAATGACCCATGACACTCCCAGATGGAGTGGCCTAGAAACAACTTCATGCAAAAGTAATTATCATCAACATCTTACATAAGAAATATCAGTTTAGATACTGTAAATACACCAATGTACCAGGGGTGTTATATTTTCCTCATGATCCGATATTGAAGCCTGGTACTTCTTGAAACTTGACAGAAGACAGGAAACTGAAGAACAGAAAAAGTCATTTTCTAAGTAGTGTTATTCATCTGGACCTACCATTATATACAGAATGCTTTTAAAGAGTCATGCAATATAAGACTAATTAGACTCAGTGAGGCTCAGATACAAATCCTCTTTCGTTATTTGATTAGTACAGGTACCTGTTAAAATATCTTCTTTTATTGACAGCGAAACTTATAGATATATATGGAGTATAAATGCGAGTAAAAAAATGAGACATTAAATAATTCAGAAAGGCAGATTAGACAATTACTAATAATGTTCAGTATTAGCCACAGTCCTTTATGGTAAGAATCCAAATTAGGGTGCAACTACTTCAATTTGTTCAGCCATATTTCTGAAGTAGTGATTTTAACCCAAACCATGTTTCGGAACATCAAAAAAGTTTGGGGTTTTTGGGGCCTAAACCGAACCAAACCATTGCACTGTCAAACCATAAAACTAATTTGTTCATCATCAGAAATGTGTTTTGTTTAGGAAGACAAAGGTAGAAGTGCATTCTGTTTGTCAGCAGGACAATATCGCTCAAGAGAGGACGTACAAACGCCATCAACATTCACTTCCAATTTGGTTGTAATTCCTTGCGATACTGGTCAAGATGGTTTTGATGCACAAACGTGCACGTGTTTGGAAGCATACCACGCTGCCACTGCAGCTGCACTGACAAAGAGAAAGAGCAAGGCTGTTGTTGAAACCACCATCTACTAATAATTTGAAAGGCTGACTGACTTCCTTTGCCGGAGTCAATTCTACAGCCGCAGTTGACTTATCTGAACAAAAAACACCCTCGCAAGCTTCACTCAGCCGTCGTTGCTTGGCAGTTTTGTTGCCACGCCGATGGGGAAATTGAAAAAGCAGGTGAGACGAGGGAGGACGGAGAGTAAGAGAATGTGGAAGAGAGATGTGACGGCGGGTTGGAGACTAAGAGAGGGATGAAGGGTGTAGTTACCGGTTGGTGGAGGCCTTTGTGTGGTAAGGTACGCGTTATTGTGGCACGCTGTAATCAAGTCCTCTCCCGGACTGACAGCCCGGCATTTTCTTACAGCGAACTTCTATTTCCCTGACAGTCCTTTCCCTCTGCCTCACGGTCTGTCTTCAGTCACCTTGTTGTCGTCTTTTCCTCTCTCTCTGTCTCACCCCCGTCACTCAAGAGTCGTAACACAGACCGTACAAGCAACAAGACGTTATCGGGGGGCCGCCACAGCTCCACCGTTCTCTACTGCACAAACCCATTTGTTTTATCATCATTCTTTTTTTTTCTTTTTACATAGGCCTGAGGGGTAGGAATTGCTGGAGCATTTGAGCAATGTTGTGTGTGATTTCCTGAACTTAGCCCGGGGATAGAATCTCTCTGCAGAGCCAATTTCCAGTCTGAACTTGTTGCTGCTGTTACCGTGCCAAAGTGAATGGTAATTTATGTATGTCTGCATTTTCATCTCTCGCTGCAGTCATACCAATCACTCACCCTTCTATAAACGGAAAAAGGGTGTCAAATTACCACGGATAAACAATCCAATTTTGAAGTAATATGGACTGCAAATTACATTTTCCCCTATAGAAAATGGGACGCAAACGCTGTGAGTATCAGTGTGGTCTATAGACAAACCCTCCTATAAGTCTGTCATCAAAGCCTTTTCATCGACGTTGCCCCCTTTAACGTTGGTGTTTAACTAAGTTTATGCCTCTAAAAAGAAGAATCGAAAAGACGGCGGGGTGAGAGAATGGAAGAAGCACATGGGATGTAAAATGGGTGAAGGGTGCCCCCCCCCCCCCCCCATAATGATGAAAATAGCACTTTGCAACAAGGTAAAAAAAATATTGAGAACTTATTAACAAATGAGTGAGGACATATATTTTTAAAGATTTAAAATACCAAAACAAAAACAACTCAAACAAAGAAATAGAGGGAAATTCAATACCAGTTTTCAAAAAGTGACTGGGTGTGTTGCGTTTCAGTGTCTCTCTTTTCAAACGGAGATGCAATGTCAAATGTCAAAAGAGAAGAAAACAAAAAAAGATGTCAAGTTTCCAATCACAGCCCGGAGACGGAACCAACACTTACTGGTAATTGTGCCAAGAACATCTGTTTTTACAGCTTCCTGAAGCACAATTCATCCCTTCAAAGTCTAATCATAAATCATCTAACTGAATATACAGCTATATAATGTATACTCTATAAACTTTATGGCTTTATTCAGCGATCTCTTCACGGCCAGTATATACTGTCGGAGAGGTTAAAGCAAGCAAAAAGCTGTGCACCTTACCGTTGTCTTAAGACAGACACACATTTTAGCCTTTCCTTTAAACAACAAATTGATGATTTTATATAACTGTTTGTGTACAGATTGAACAAACAAGATAGTGTGTTAATGAGTGAGCTTTAGAGGTTGTGGTAAGCTTATAATATAATAATAGATGGACCCAGGCTAGCCGTATCCTCCTGTGTCTCGTCTTTGAAAAGCTGGACTAATTGCCTCCCAGCTCCAGACATAGGATCGGTATCGATCTTTTCATTTAATTTTAGAAAGAAGGGAAACTATTACTTTAAGTTAAGCCATACAGATTGTTGTCAACTAACAGCAACACTTCATGTTTCTGGCTGTGGCACAGGGAGATGATTTCCACATCTCTCTACATTTGCAGTGCCTTCACCCCATAGAGCGTACATAAGAAGAGGATGTAGTCACTGTGGACTGCTATTTTGAGGCTTCGAGTTAGGCGTTTTGGCCATCGCCATCTTGGTTTGTACAGAAATAATAAATCAAGTGAGAAGTATACATTTTTCTGATCGACTTCTATACAATCAGACTTCTTTTTGCAACCAGAATAGTCGCCCCCTGATGGCCAGTAGTGAGAATGCAAGTATGAGGCACTTATGCATTGGCTTCACTTTTCAGAACCGGAGGTACTGCTATAACCCCTAGGCCACCAAGACACCGTGACATCCCTATTCTTAATCCTGCCTGCTTGTATGGCTGAAAAGAGTCTTAGTTGTATGGAAGCAATTCATAGACCTGGAACCAGGCTAGTGTGCGGTTGGAGATCGGGGAGACATTTCAGTAGCAGTGCACACAGCAGAGTTACTCCCACACCTCTGTGACACACTCACACACAAAATGTAGTTACGGCTCGGACAAGCCACAAATATAACTTATTAATAGTCTCAGTTAAAGGACATCATATTGAACACAGACAGCTAGAGTTTAAATCTGGCATTGAAGTCCAAATTCAAAATATTGGAGGGAACGTTCTTCCCCCCTGAAAGCTTTAAAAGTTTTCTTTTAACTTTAAACATCATGTGGTCAGAATGTGAAACAGACTTGAACGATCAACCAAACAGGGCAGTGAAACACTCATTTTCAGCCTGGTGTATTCTCCCCTTGAATATACTGTACTGAATACACAACACATTACTGTGTTATTTTCTCTCCCTCCTCTGCAGGCCTGTCGGGTTTTGGTTGAACAGGGCTCAGTCTCTGCTCTACTGCAATGAGCACGGCGTGCAGGGCTCCTTCTCCGAGGAGGTGAAGAGCTGTAGCTGCCCTGCGGAGCAGCCCACCTGCCAGGGAGCCGTTCCCTGCGTCGTGGGCACCTCCTCCACCTCCTGCTCTTCCTGCGCCGCCGACAACGCGACCCGCTGTGGAGCCTGTCACCACGGCAACCTCCTCCATCTAGGCTCCTGCCGGCCGAGCATCGCTGCATCCCTGGACCACTATCTGAACTTTGACCTGGACATGCCGGATGCTGAGGTTCTCAAAGCTTCTAATATGTGTTCCTTAGGTCCTCAAACGCCTAAGTTTCAAAGATACAGTACCTCTGATTACACTAACGACCATGGCAAAGAAATGCTGTAGATATGCCTCGACACAAACATATAACTCTAATAAGAGAGTTTCAAATATAGATCTGCAGAGTGGCTTCACAAGCCATAGTCCAGTTTGGTTTGTCTGATTGAGAGTGAAATCAATACTTTTGGTTCGTTCATTTAGTCCGGTTTGGTTTCATAGTGCAACACTTCAAATCGGACCAAATAACCATTTTAATTTGCTTGAGGGGCGTGTATGATGGAGTGAATTCATCTTTCTCGTCTCGAGAGCTGTCACTTCTATGCAGTGAATGGCTTTTTTTCTCAATTTGACTTGCTCATGAATCCCCTCTCCTCCAACATATCTTAAATTACTTGATAAAAAAACATCACTATTTTTGTGGCCCTCATTTAGGGGATTCTAAATGTTCTCTTCGGCCCAGATGTGAAGCAAACATGGGACTTCTGCAGAAGTCCAAGTCAGTCCTCTTTCTCTCATGTTAACCTGTCGTGTCCATCTAAAAAAATGCGCCTGCATGCAGGTCTGTGTTTGAAATTGACTTCCTGCAATTGGGTCGGATCAGGTTCAATCAATCCGCTCTTGGGTTCTCTAAAAAACCCCCCACAAGCGATCTCGGAATGGTTGTTTTGGTCCGCACCAGAGTGTGATTACTGCCTTTACAACTGCCCAAAAGGATCAAACCAGGCGTTGAACCGCACCAGAGTTTGTGAACATTTTGGTTCACTTCCAGCAATTATGTCAGATTATGTTAGCAATGCAATCGAGCCTCACAAGTGATCGCTTGAAAGTGGTCCGAGACCACCTCTCGCAAGCTGTTAGGACCATTTGTATTCTGATGTGGATCACAACAGTTATTGCATTCACAACTGTGCTACCAACCCACACCGGAGTTCCAATAAACACATGTTTTGGGTCAATTGCTGCAATTTTGTTGGGTTATGTTCTCAATGCAATGGAACCGCACTAGGGTTCTCTAAAAAAACGGTCCAAAACCACCTCTAAGTGCTCTCGGACTTGTTTTTTTGGTCCACACAAGAATACGATTACTGCATTGACAACTGCACCAGAGTTCTATTAAAATAGACTACATGTTGGCTTGTGAAAGCATACTTAGTGATCTGTCTATTATTATCTGTCTACCTGTAAGAGTGAATGTGATCTCACATTTCTAAAATCTCTCTCCAGGTGAAGTACCTGCTTCAGCGACTGGACAGCAGAATCGAGGTGCACGCCATCTACATCAGCAATGACGTCCGTCTGGGGAGTTGGTTCAACCCCGCCTGGAGGAAGAGAATGTTGCTGACCCTCAAGAGTAACAAAAATAAGTCCAACCTTATCCACATGCTGATGGGCATTTCTTTCCAGATATGCTTGACTAAGAATTCGACACTGGAGCCCGTCCCTGCGATTTATGTCAATCCTTTTGGGGGAAGTCACTCAGAGAGCTGGTTCATGCCAGTGAACCAGCCTGACTTCCCCGACTGGGAGAGAACTCGACTGGAAGCCGTCGTCACGGCACAGTGTTACAACTGGACACTGACCATGGGCAACAAATGGAAGTCCTTCTTTGAAACGGTGCACATCTACCTGCGAAGCCGCATACTCACAGATGATCCGACAGCGAACGAAACTCTCTTCTATGAGCCGTTGGACCTGGACGACCAGACGTCCAACCTCGGGTACATGAAGATCAACACGCTAAAGGTGTTCGGATACAGCCTGCACTTTGACCCCGAGGGCATCAAGGATCTCATCCTCCAACTAGACTACCCTTACACGCAGGGTACGCAGGACGCCGCCTTTCTGATGTTGTTGGAGATGAGGGACCGGATTAATCGGCTGTCTCCGCCGGCGCCGCAGCCCCTGGACCTGTTCTCTTGTCTGTTGCGCCACCGGCTCAAGCTGTCCGCCGGAGAGGTGGCACGCATCAAGGACTCTCTGCAGATCTTCAACTCCAAGCTTCCCAATGCCTCTCCTGAACCTGAGCTGGCCCAGCTTTGCAGCTAGCTAGCTTAGCATACAGGTCAGGTTCCGGAAGTGATGCTAGAAAGTGGAGTTGCTGCTGGACTGAACAAGGGAGGTTCAACAGAATTATCCTCTTGGACCCAAAGCCTCTGGATTAATAGAACATCCAATTCTGAAGGCTGATTGCTGGGCTTTTCCTACAGTTACACTTGGCAGGATTTCTGTTGTCATATTTCTGTCAGAAATTGCTACCAGAGCCCTTTGATGAACAGTGGAGTGATGTTGTGGACTTTTGAGAGAACAGCTGATACTTGGACTCTTTCAGAAGCTCTACTGTACGAGCCCGGAGGCATACTTTTGCTATTACTGCCCTGCTTTTGGCAAACTGTACGACTGGATTAAGTTAAGAGACTCCCACACACAGACAGTTTTTTTTTTTTATTTAGAACCTCAGAGAGCCGACGTCATTAAGTATACCTAAGACATCTGCCTTGCAAAGATAAAGGTGGTTTTGATATGTAAAGAGAAACTCTTAAGGGGTCTTCACAACTGAGTAAGTGGAAGAGAAGAGTTCCCCTTTTATATCCCTATTTTCTTTGGCTACAGAACAATCTCGTGGGAAGGGGAAAAACGAGATAATATTATAAATGTGGTGAATGACTTATGTTATGCTTAACAGTTTAAAATTTGATAATCCTGAACCCTGTTACTGTCTTTGAATATTTATTTTTAACCCCTGCCTTCCATTTTATCTGCCATTTGAAAACGTGTAAGTACAGTATCTATGCTTAACATCCGAGTGAGAAGCCCGTTAGTGATGTTCTGTCCTTGGTGGCGTGTCTATACCAAAAGAAGGTGAACACATTGGCAAACTGAATTGCAAACTATCTTAAGTGTTGAGTTATTTTTTTTTGGGAGGCAGAAAATCGTCAAGAACTCTTCTGATGTGGAAACAAAAAGGTCTGAGGAAATAGCGCTGTAAATAACGCTCCATCTAACCCCAGGTGTGGACAAGTGCACATTGCTTTTTAGATAACTGAGTGCAAAGACCAAAAAAAATGTTTATAACAAAAACAAACTCATGCCTTATATGGAGAGTCAATGTTAAGATAAGAAGCACATTTAGTTTCTGTGTTTGATTTCCCAGCAGAGGCTGTATTTTGCTTTTTATATTTCAATATTTCTACCAAGACAGACAGACACATTCTCCAGAATATGTGGTATTGTAGCTTTTCTTTCCATGTAAATGCCAGACACTTTCTGCAGCTACTTGTTTTGATTTGGTGTTGTGAAACTTTGAGTCACTAGTCACACTCGACACCAGTACTCACATACTGTAATTGTTCTGCAAAATCTCCAATTAGACAAACTCTCAGCAACTGATTGAACCTGGTGGATCTCATTATGGTTTTCAATGGTTTGGTTTAGTCTCAGGTCAATGAAACTATTTTGGTTTTTTCTTTACTTGTGGGTCCAATGTCAGCTGCCGGTTACCGCGATGACTGGAGCTACAATGTTTCTGTAGGGCAGCGATGGTTCTCTGGAGAGCTGCCAACTTACCAGGATGATATTTGATATGATTCTACATTTACTTCACTAATTTCTCACTGAAAGTCAGTAAACCTTGTATGTCATTTTCAGCAGTTCTTCTGTGCTCAGCTTGCTTAAGTAAAAACAAAGTGGTTTATCTATTTGGGATACTCTTCCTTGTCTGCTTTTAATCCTCACTGTTATAATGTGTGCTTTGTTTGCAGCTCATGGTCAGGTTTTCCCGTTGTCCTCGCCGTGTGAGTAGAGACACAGGGCCAGATTTACTAAGGAAATAGTGCAATGCAAGTGTGCGCAGGTGGAGGGGGAAAGATGGTGTGGATATAAGAAGAACAGTGCAGTTTCTAGCATGTAGCGCCTTCACGGTTTATTAAACATCAAATTAAAATGTAAGTTTAATCAACACAAAATCTCCCAAAACTCAAAAGTACAGATATTTATTGCTTCATCATTGGCCCGTTTTAGAAATTTGATTCAAACTAATGAATAGGTTAATTAATAGGCCGAAGTGCAGTGACGGCACACACATTCTCACACCGATGAGTCAAATATTGCACATGTATACATATATATATATATATATACATATATATATATATATACACATATATATATATATACATATATATATATATATA